CACTCCGCACTCCGCCGCCCATTGTGCGATATCTCCCCGTGCGCTATCCCCAGCGCTCTGCCCGTGCACGTTCCCGAAAGTGGAGCTACTTTCCCGGAAAAAAACGTAACAAAACAAAGGCAAAACCGAATACCCGGAAGGGGAAGGAAAGGAAGGGAAAACTACGGGGGGGGGGGTAGGGAAATGGGGAATGGGGGAGAAGGGGGAGGGAAGGGTATGAGGAGGACGGAGAGAAGGGGAAGGAGAAGGTACCGGGCAGGTGTGGGGAGCAGTATGGATTTCCAACAGACCGAAGCACGCGGCAGATGCCCCTAGCGGCCGAACTTCTGCGTTTGGTTTCCTTCTTCGATGGTCAGAACATCCCCGAGGAGCTATTGAATCAAAGTGGTTTGGAAGGGGCCGATGATCCAATCGAGTTTCGTCGGGCCATTGGAAAACTATTGGGATTTTCTCTAGTTACGACTGTCGAAACTGGTGACAAGACGTTTTACGAGCTTCATCGTTTGGTCCAACTGTCTTTACACGTGTATTTACCGACAGAGGAGTTGAACCAATGGAAGGTCACTGTGCTAAGAGTGGTTTCAAGGTTGTTCCCTCGGAATCGGAACACGTGGAGATATGTAGGATCTGAATACATTCCGCATGTACCTGTAGTTACCAAACATTCTACAGATCCTATGGCCGAAGAGCTTTGTTTTCACCTGGGACGGTACTTTATAGATATGGGCTTCTACAATGACGCAGAGGTTCAATTGCGTCGATCTATAGCGCTGCGCGAAGGGCGTAAAGAGTATGACTGGGGTGAGGAAGGTGCAAGAAGGGTCACGCTCCTGGGGATGGTCAGCAGATATCAGGGAAAGGCAGATGTGGCCGGGAAGATACTTCGGAGTTTGTTGGAGGATATTGGGGGGTCATTGGGCCTAAATAATCCCATCGTCTTGGAGGCTCTCGACAGCCTGGCCCTAACGCTACAGCACCGTGGAAAGTATGGTGAATCGGAGACAGCGAATCGGCGTGCACTAGACGGCCGCGAGAAGATTCTTGGGCCAGACCACCCAAACACCCTATCAAGTGTCAACAACCTGGCTACCGTGCTGGCATCCCAAGGAAAGTACAAGGAATCAGAGGCGATGAATCGGCATGCACGGGAGGGGCGCGAGAAGATTCTTGGACCAGACCACCCGGAAACCCGGTGGATGCGCAGGCACAATTTGCTCGTCGCGATGTCGGTTAATTGCGGTGGAGAGTTGTCTGCCGCAAGGGTGACAGCTCGACATGGTGACCCATCTCACCGGAAGAAATTCTGCTGCCTTGAAGATCGTTGGTGCTCACATGAATATTTTCCGCGCACTTTATATGTTTTTGTCTTTACCAATATTTCTTTTGTGATTTGTCTATTTTATGTTGTCCGTAGGGTATGTGATAGTAGAAGGCAGCTGGCTGGCACTTCTCGTAGTAGTCTTTCTCGGCTCTTTCATCTCTGCGGGCGGAGAGAAGCAAGGCAACTACGGTATACCTACTGGGTACGGCGGGTTAAACGTACCTGAGGTGCAAATGAACCTCGCGTTGCAACGAAAATGTTAATAGCCGGTTCCCCTCCTACCGTATCTCGCTGTCGCTCATAGTCGGGCAAATCAACTGTGACAACTCAACTTCCTTTTTTCTTTCCATTTTTCATCTATATTTATTGTCTCTTCTTTATTGAATTATATGTATAAATAGTCAGAAATAATAATTATCATGCTCATTATATTTATACCTTCAGGTCCTTGTCTCCTTCCACCTTCCTTCAATTAAACAAGATTACAAGATTCACTTCCTCTGAAAATCCCAACATCTGATCCAATAAAATCTCTTCAACTGAAAAATCAATTGGATCATACTGTAGAATGATTAGATGAAGAGCCAACTAAGAAGGACAGCAGTACTACTGCATATACAACACTGTAGTATTTGGATGTGGATTTAGAGGGACTAAGACATAAATCAAAAATCTGATAGATAGTTCAAAAAGTAAGTGTTCTTACTATTAAGGAAGTAAGACTTTGAAAAAATAAAAGGCAGGAGAAGGAGAGGACTGTAGCAATTAAGAAAGTCAAAAATAATATCCAAGTTGTTGTTAACAAAGTAAAAACAGTACTATGCTATCATGGTCTTAATACTTACAAGTTAGAAAAGAAAACCTGATTCATTATAAATTCTATCACTGCTACAGACAACTCTTGATAGTATATTTGGTGTAATTGATCCATGATTGTAAAGAATTGAAAAAGAAATCAAAAAGTAGAGTATTTATAAAGAGAGAGACAAAGCTGGTAAGATAAATATCAGAAATGTTGAGATAGGTAGCAGTAGTATAGGAGATGATGGTAAGAATTTGAGTGGTAAATTAAACTCAGATAATTGTTTATGCATATCAACTGATTTAAGTGTCAGAAATGCCTGGTTCTCTATCTTTGAATGAAGGCCTTGTAACCTCAGGAAAGAAGGTGTATGTAGTTATTGGTGGTATTGTATAGGCCTTTTAAAGACAATTTTTTTTTTTGGTGTCACACTTGCATTGGCGTCACACTTGGTTTGTCCAACTATGAGCGACAGCGAAATAGGAGGGGAACCGGCTATTGGAACAAAAAAAACCTGTTTTATTCACTTTCCTCTCTACAGTCCTCAACCTGCTCGTATTGGCAACTGATAGCAATAGGCTAGAGGAGAGGTAACAGGAGTGTGCTACTACTCGCTGCAACCAGTTGAAGAGACTACAGGAATCTGTGGGGGAACGGCAGAGCATACAGGGCTAAGAAGAATGACAAACTAGAGGGAGGTCTTGAGTGGCGGGCTGTTGGATGATGTGTCGTATGGAGGAAGTTTTGGATATTTTTACCTTCTTCTTAGTATTTAAATTTCGCTTTTTTTTTTCGTGTCTCTTCTAGTGGTGGGAAATAATGTCGTATGCTTTCTCACTAGATAAGCTCGGTGAAGTGACTCCTTGACTACCGGTACTCACAGTCATGAGAGGTTACTCGTTTGATACCATTCAACCTGGCGACATAAATGCCACAACACAATTCCCAGTTACCCACCTGGCTCCCAAGGCCCTGTTCGGCCCTACATCCTCACCCATTAAAGGAATCTCTACTACAGCTCTCACCCCCCACCCCCGCGCTTCCGCCAATAGTCTCACGTTATATCCTCCGACGGGCAGAACAGACGATGAACCACAACCTGCCCGCGGGACTAGTGGACCACCCCAACACTATAACAAGTGTCAGAAACCCGGCCATGCTGTTGCGATACCGAGGGTTGTACGATGGGTCCGAGACAACGAGCCGCTGTCCAGTGTCTCGCGAAACACAGGCCACCACTTGTCTATTACAATTACACTAACCCGAATTATGCCTCATTAAATTTGTAGTTATTGTTTTTATTTCTCTTGTTTACGAGATGGCAGATGCAGGTTGTACTTACCGGTGCATGTGTGGTAGCGCATTATCCTGTCAAAAAAAAATCTGGAAGAGATGTTTGAAGTCTAGAAGTGCGAGGCAGTTAGAGGAAGAAAGCGACTATTGGGAAGACATTAATAGTAGGGAGGAGAATTGAAGAGAGAAGCAAAAGTGAGGTGGAGTGAACGAAAGGAAGGTGAAAAGAAGATAGCGGGGAGAAGAGGAGGGAAGAGAAGATGGGAAAAGAAGGCACGCAAGAGCACTGCTCGCGCGTGCGGCTAAGCCGGCCGTAGATATATACAGTGAGGCCAGGCGAGAACAACCTGGGCTTTCGTAAGCCAACATTTGTGGGTACCAGGCAGCACCGGTGGTCCCGGTATGTGCCCTGCAGTTAGCAAATATTCTGCCAATGTGTAGAAGATATATGGAGATACCTCCAATTCCCCTCAGATCCCCGTATATATCTGTAAATATCTTGCGACTCTTGAAAATATCCTCAAATACCCGCAGATATCTGCCAACATGCGCTATTGCGATGCAAGATCTGCAGCTATCTGGGACCGATCCACTCCTGGGCACGAGGAGAAATGAAAAGCATTTATCACAAGTTCACAGCATTGAGAGTAGTGCCGGTGCTGGTGATGGACACGATCATGATCGAGAGGACCCCATGATTGAATGATTGAGCAAATTGGGAGACCCTAATCGAGTGATTGAGCAGTGATTGAGCATACTTGAGTATAGCTGATTATGATTTCCTTTTTCATGTAACAATGTTGCCTCCAACCGCAGGTGCTCTGATGGAACAATTTGCAAGAGTGTTAGTCAAAAGGCTATCCTGGGGCCATTAACGCAATATTACTAGCTGTTGTCCGTAGAGTTTCAACCACTGGATAATATCTATATTCTGGTCTACCCTTGGCTCTTACAAGTAGGTATCAACTTGGGATTTTATGAGATCATCATCTAGAGCGAGGGCATTTTAGACAAGTGAATTGGTGGGTCAGGCGCGTTGGGGGTTCGGTGAAGTGTGTTCTCGGAGACATGATATTGAGTGTGGTGCAGACAATGATTATATTAATAGATATTGCGTAATTTCTAGGACAGATATATGTATAGGTATTGATAGTCATCTATCATGATCGATCATGATCGCACATGGTCGAGCAGTACCCCTACTCGAGCAACTCGAGCGGATCATGAGGGTCCTGCTCGAGCATAATCTGATCGAGTGATACTTGTGATCGAGGATGATCGAGCATGACCTGCTCGAGCAAAACTCGATCATGATCTGATCGTGGCCATCACTAAACGCCCCCCACTGCTTTGATATATAGTGCCAAAACCACCTATACTCTCTCTTTGGGCACCGCCATCACTAAAGCCCGGGGTGCGCAGTTATTCTGACCCCGGGCAAGCAAATGGCACAACCTTAGAAGCGCTTTTCCGCTCATCATACATTACCTGTCGGGCAATACTGGACTAAATCTCATCCTCTGCCACCTTCTCTTCAGCCTCTCTGGGTACCGTCGTTGCTTCATCCACTGCCGGTCGGCCACTTCCTTCTCCACTTTCCTCGCCTCCCCAGCAGCTCTGCCCTCTGCCCCCTGCGACCAAAAGATCAGCTTCGGGGAACTGATTTCATCAAAACTCGCAAAGTACCGAGGTGAAAATAGCAGGGACCAGGTTCCTGCGCCGGCAATGCCAAGTCCAGAGAATTGTGGGACTGTTTCGTTTGATGCAAGTCCACCGGCATGTGGATCGCTACCCGATCGCGCGACATTGTTTTCTAGTAGAGCACGACATGCGTAGAGATCTTTGTGGCACAAGAGCACTTCCTAGCGCTAGGCCTTACAACACATACGCAGGAGGTCGATAAGTATTGTGTGGTTGCAGGTAACCCCTTTCATGTGAGTGTTCAGGCGGGGTGGCGCAAGGGTGCGGGGGTCAGGGCAGGGTCCCGGCAACAGGCCCATTTGAGTGCAGATGGAAGAAACATGGCCGAATGGGCATCGCTACATGCCGGGGCAGATCCCGCGCCAGTGGCTTTCTGTACACGAGATTGCACATCACTAGACCGGGGGCAGCCGGAGAGGGGAATGCTGGAAATTCCAATGTGCTGCCCGGCATTCTTTCCCGATGTTTCGTCTGTTTGTTCGCATAGTCTCCGAGAGTGTGCCTTGAATTTAAGGGCACTTTGGCTACTGCACGCGTTATCGGCTCCTTGGGAAACCGCTTCGGCTGTGGGAATTCCCAGGAGTCTCGGAGGAAAGCATCCGCCGTAAGGAAACCCGGAAAGCCACGAAGGATGATGCAAAGTGAGAGAGTTTGATACGCAGGGTATTGGATGTCTGGAGCCGATGAGCAGTGGGAGTTTGTCTTTTCTCTGTAAGCTATTATTTGCTAGTGAGTGAGAGATGTACCTGGAGGGGCAGGTCTTACTTGAAATTGTCCGTGATATATAGGCCCGCCTTTTCCGCTGGTTAGTGGAGCGCGAGTGAGTAGAAGAAAACAGGAGCTTCTTTCCCCGCTTGTGAGTGGTGCAATCGTTTCGTGTGTGAGATCTTCCCTTTTCGTTTTGAGGTGTTCACTGTTCACCTTTTGTTCGTTTCGCCCTTTGTTCCTTGCACGGCCGTGATTGCCTTCGCCGATCTGACTTTTAAGGGCACGTTTACCTAACCGTCTATTGCTGAAATCTGTATGGTGCGGTTTAACGGTACAGT